GCTCCTGGGTGGCTCAGTCAGTTAAGCGTCTGCCTTCAGCTCAGGTCATGATCCTGGAGTCCTAGGATCGAGCCTCACTTTGGGCTCCCTGCTCAGCAGGGGGGCTGCTTCTCCCTCTGCCCCTCACCTTGCTTGTGCTCTCTCTAGCTCTTTCTCTCTCTCAAATAAATAAATAAGATATTTTTAAAAAATAAATAAAAAATAAAAAATAAATTTTTAAGTAATCTCTGTGCCTAGCATGGGACTGGGACTCACAGGCCTAAGATTAAGAGTGGAACACTTGGGAGGTCTGGGTCGCACGGTCAGTTGAGCATCCAACTCTTGGTTTCAGCTCAGGTGATTGTGGGGTTGTGGGATCGTGCCCTGTGTCTGATTCTGCACTCAGCTTGGAGTCTGCGTGGGACTTTCTCCCTCTCCCCCTCACCACCTCTTTCTCTCTCTCTCAAACAGGGACACCTGGGTGGCACTGTCAGTTGAGCATCTGACTCTTGGTTTTGGCTCAGGTCGTGACCCTCAGGGTCATGGGATCGAGTCCACATCGCGCTCCCCACTCAGCGGAAGTCTGCTTCTGTCCCTTTCTCTCTCCCTCTGCCCACCTTCGCCCACCCCGGCCCCCACTCACACATGCTTGTGTGCTCCTTCTCAAAAATAAATGAATACATCTTTAAAATAAATAAATAAATAACTCTTTTTAAAAAGAGAGTTGTACACTCTACCAAGTGAGCCAGCCAGGCACCCTGTTTATTTTGAGTTTTATTTCATTTTTTATTTATTTTTAAAGATTTTATTTATTTATGTGAGCAGAGGGAGAGGACATGAGCAGGGGCGGAGGGAGAAGGAGACTCCCCACCGAGCAGGGAGCCTGACATGGGGCTCAATCCCAGGACCCTGGGATCATGACCTAAGCTGAAGGCAGACGCTTAACCGACTGAGCCACCTAGGCACCCCCTATTTTGAATTTTAAATGGGCTTCCTTTGCTAAGTAGTTTTAGGATGCCAGTAGAACTCCGTACAGAATATGATGAATTTAAAAAATAGTTTCTAAAATCTTAGGATAGTCAGAATTCATTTTTCAGCACTAGCCCTTTATCATATAGAATTTTCCATAGGTGTAAAAAGAGCTACTCGTTAAAAATTAATGGCAAGTTCTGGGTTGACTCGGTTGTACTTGTTATAGCTGTGGAAGAACTATGTTACCAAATAGAAGAGTCCTGCTTTGAAAGGGAAGCATAAGTTTGGGGTTGATGGGTAGAAGAGAGTTGTTTTGAGAGTGAGTCCCTGGGTTTCTTCTGTTTCTCCCAGCCTCTCTAAACATGCAGGGTTTAGTTGATCCAACACAGAAAACACCTGACAGGCTGACTTAGTTTGTTTCATCTCTCTTCTCTGGTGAACTCCAGGGGTCCCGGTGAACTCTGGTTGGGAAAGGGTGGTGATCCTGAACCCCGGGAACATGTCTCTGCTACAGCCGAGCCAGAATGTTGCTCCTCTAAAGTCTTGTTTCTGAACTGTACTCCAAGGAGTCCCAGGGGTTCTTACGGCCCTGTCAGGGCTCAGTGTTACAGTTGGGGATAGGGAGGAAGTGTCTCCTTGAACCCCAGTCCATTTGAACCAGACCTGCTCTAAAAGCTACTTATCTACAGCAGCCACCCTGGGACAGCCAGGGTTTTCCTTCCCAGCCTGTTGGCAGAACAGTTGAATGTTTTCTCTCATATTCAGTGATGTAGACTCAGAATTGTCTCACATGGTAGGGAATTTGCTCGTACATTCCCCTCTGTGTCATGTCTATGTCTATGTCATGACATGTCTATGTCAGTTGCAAGGAGAGCAGAGCCCTCATTAAGATCCCATTCGGCTTCGCAGGTAAATAAAAATGACATCCGGAAGAAGGTGAGGCGCCTAATGGGAAAGTCGCATATTGGGCTTGTGTACAGCCAGCAACTCAACGAAGTGCTTGATCAGCTGGCGAACCTGGTAAGCATGCCTGGGCCGTCCCCTAGGCTCCCCTCCCACTGGCACTTGTCACCTTCCAGGCTGGGGCCTTGTCGCCCAATGCAGAGGCTTCCCCACGGGTCATTTGTTGGCGTCTATATTTTTAAGATCCCCAGTTTTGAAAATAGGGCTTTGAGTCTAGATGAGGCGTTAGTCCCTCTGTTCTGTGACAGGATTCTCTGTACTGAACCATCTTGCCGCAGCCATTTCTGCATGTGGTCTGTGGACTCCTAAGGATCCATGAGCCGAAAACTATTTTCATAATAGTACTAAAATCTTTGCCTTTTTGCCCTGAGTTGACATTTGCACTGATGGTACAAAAGCAGTGATGGCTAAAACTGCTGGTAACCTTCACACAGTGAAGGCAGTGGCACTAAGCCGTGCTGGGAGCCATCGGAGGGGAGGGGGCACTCTGAGTTTAAAAAAGAGAAAGAAAAATAGTTGCACTTATGAATGTTCTCGATGAAAGCATTCAAATCATTAATTTTACTAATCTGATCATTGATGATACATCTTTTTAATATTTTATGTGACCAAATGAGAAATATACAGGAAGTATTGTGCTGCAGAGCAAAATATGATTGTTTCAAGAAAAAGTGATCGTAACAGTTTGAGTTGCAAGGGGAACTGTCAGCTTCGTTCATGGGACATAATTTTCACTAGGAGGATTGACTAACTTTGGTTGTTCAGAGTTGGGTATTTATTTGGCAGACTTGTAAGCTTGAAGCTTCCTGATATTTAAAGGCTTTTGTAACAAGATTGATGATATTAATCAGTGTGATTTTTTGATACTCTCTAATGAAATGTGTCAGTATTTAGAAGAGCTACATTACTCCTTAAACCCATAGTTTCTGAAAGGCCATCGTGTGGTGTTACAAATTCAAGTGTGAGTAAAGATACCATCAAAATGCAAGGTAGACAAAAGGATTTCATGCCACCAAGTACCAAATGTTCCTTGATGGGTTTTCAGATTTCATGTTGCAGCAATGACGAACTGTTACTTCTCAAGTTTTGTTATAATCACCGAAGAAAAATAATCATATCTATCCGGAAAAGCTATTAAAACACTCCTCCCTTTTCCAAATATATGTCTGTGAGACCAGATTTTCTTTATATACCTCAGCCAAACCAACATAACACGGTGGACTGAATGCAGAAGCAGAAATGAGAATCCAGATATTTTTTAAAAACAAACATGTGCAAAAATGTGGAGCAGTGCCAGTCTTCTCATTTTTTTTTTTTTTTGCTTGTTTTGGGAAATATGTTATTTTAAAAAATTACTTATATTATCATGTAATGGGTGTATTCTTAGAATTCTTAATGACTTCAAAATTAATATTTACTTTTTTCAGTTTTAATTTCTAATATGGTAAATATCTATAAATATAACTCACAGAAACCTAAGCTCTCCAGAGTCATGAATAATATTTAAGACGTATGGGAGTCCCAAGGCCAAAAAGTTTGAGAACGCATCCCTCGTGGCCTGTGGCCAGTAGATGGCACTGTGCTAAGTAAGCTGATAGGAATTTACTTGCTGGAGTGGGGGATGGGGGCGGAATTCTTGGCCCAGAGAGCTCTGTGAGAGAGATTTACCGATGTCCTTAACAGATCTCTATTTCCTCAGAATGGACGTGATCTCGCTATCCGGTCCAGTGGCAGCCGGCACATGAAGAAGCAGACATTTGTGGTACATGCGGGGACAGACACAAATGGAGATATCTTCTTCATGGAGGTAAATGCTAGTTCATATGTCTCACAGGAACATTTGAGAGTCACAGGGAACTCCTAGACCGGATACTGGAATATTTCTCCCACTTAATCTCATTCATCTTCATGATCCACTTACCATTACATCGTCAGGCTCTTATGCAAGTAATATAATGGATAATTCACCATCATTTCTTTTACATATGTGTTGAATAGATGATGTAGTCACATTGTCCGTAAGTCAGGACAACTTGAAACAGTAGGCATTAGAAGTCTTGCTCTCTTTCCTATCCCTTTCCTCTCAATTTCCCCTCCCCTTCACCACTTCCTTCTGTAGGTAACCACTTCTGTGGTTTCCTTTTTATCTTTCAGTGGTATTTTATACAAACACACAAAAAATATAAAGTTAAGTTCTTTTTCTTTTTTCTCACAGAAAGGTAGCACATCATATCCACTGATCGGTACCTTGCTTTTCTCATTGAGCATATCCTGAAGATCTCTATGTCAGTACAAAAAGAGAGTTCTTTTTTTTTTTCTTTTGATTGAAGAAGAGTTGACGTACAATGTTGAATTAGTTTCAAGTGTACAGCGTAGTGATTTGGCTATTCTGTACATTGTGTAGTGCTCACCATGATAAGCGTGGTCCCCGTCTGTCACCATACGTCACAATGATATCATCCGCTGTATTCCCTGTGGCTCTCATTCTTTTTACGGCTGTGTCGTGTTCCATGGTGTGGTTGTACCATAGTTGAGTCACCGGTCAGTACATACATGCCCTTGGTTTTCTTCACGTCCGTGCTGTCGCTCACCGTCCTGCTGTGCGTGAGGCCGCGCCTGCTTCCCTCCACACATGCACAGGCGCTGGAAGAGCTCGCAGAGGCTGTCACCGCACCAAAGGGAAAAATGCATAGATGGCTTTGGCTGATAGGACTCTGAAGTAGCTCTTAACATATAACAGTTCCCCTCCCACTCTGCCATTTCTTTCATTGAAGAAATGTGCCACACGGAGTACCTCACGTTCTAGACTTTTTGCTGGTTGCATCTCTTTGGTGTTAATACGCTTCTTCATCACTGGTATTTTTTATAAACACTAGTAGTTCAATCTAGGGGTTGGATGAGTTTCAGATTCAGTATTTTGGCAAGAATACTTCATGGGTAGTGTGTATATTGCCTGTTGCCCCATTTGCTCACCTCTCTTAGAGATCAGTGGGTGTAGATATGGGCCGCCTGACCTGTTCCCTGTGAAGTTCCTCATCAGTCCTTTGAGTCTGCCTATGGGTTTTTGCCATGCAGAATTGTTTTACTTTTTTTTTTAACCCTCCCTCCAGCCCTTGGCAGAATCTTTCTACTTTTATGTAGTTGAATTAGTCTTTTTTTTTTTTTTTTAATAACTTCGGATTTTGAGTCATAGGTAGAAAAACCCTTCCTTATTCCAAGATTATAAAGGAAATTGGCTATGGTTTCTTTATTTCTAATTCTAGAATTAATTTTTAATTTTTAATTCTAAAATACCAGGTATTTTAAATTCTAAAATGAATGAAGGAACCAAGTATAACTCCTATATAAAGTAGTAAAATTAAATAATTTTACAAGTATTCTGTTTCCTTTTGGTTTAGTTGAGTTTGATTTTTACACCCACAGCTTTCTGAATGAGTGGTTTATCAAGCATGGGGCAGGCGTTCTGCCCAGAAGCAGACACATGCGTGTTGGTGTAGCTGAGAAGAGAGTCATGTTCATGTCACTGTGAAGTTTTAGAATTTGGTTAGGTGTCTCCTCGAGCCGAGGACTAACAGGATATCTGCACCATAAGGAGGTGGCAGCTGATTCTCACCCTTTCCTTTTATTATTATTTTTTAAAAGATTTTATTTATTTGACAGAGAGACACAGTGATAGAGGGAACACAAGCAGGGTGGTGGGAGAGGGAGAAGCAGTCTTCCCACTAAGCAGGGAACCTGACACGGGGCTCAATCCCAGGACCCTGGGATTATGACCTGAGCCAAAACCAAGAGTCGGATGCTCAACCAGCTGAGCCCCCCAGGTGCCCCTCACATGAGAATTTCTATAGACTTCTTAATATTATAGATTCTTAATGTGAAATTTCTGGATCAAGCTTATACAGATTTAAAATTTTTATAGATTCTGCCAAACACCATCCCAAAGACTATACCAGTTTATATCTCCACCAGCAGCATAGATGAGTCAGGTACATTGTTACTGTCATCTCTCTAGCCTAGAAATTGTATGTCCTAGTACCTGTCCTGCCCCTCTCCTTTACATGGTGTTCTTAAAGGGTTATGGAAAGGGGGGTAGTAGTCTTTATTTTTCACCTGGAGAAAACTAGAATCAGACTAGGACTAGATTTCTAGTTTCTACTCAGCTATTATATGACCTTATTCTTCATAAGGCTTTTAGAGCCTCTGTAACTTCTACATAGTAGACTAAAACCCGGTAGTTTTGCATATTCCTTTTTCATTCACTTTAAATTATGGAGCACATACTATAGGCCAAGGTACTGTGGGTATGTGGTTGTAACAATGAGTAAGCGAGACATGGTTTCTGTTGCCCGTATGGGGTTGACAAGCCATTGGGGAAGTCAGCTAAGGAAACGAAGTGTCATGAAATATGATGAGCGTTATGGGAGAAGATGCATGGGGGCAGGCAGTGTGGGAATAGATAGCAGAGGATCTAGGAGTAGTGGATGGCCCCTTGGAAATGACCTTGGAGCTTAGACTTAAAAGAAGTATGAATTCCCAGCTGGAGTCGGGGAGGGGGACAGTTCCAGGGGTATTTGAGGTGAAATGGACAGAACTCAGTGTAGTGAGAAGGAAAAAAGGAGTCTCACATCACTCCTTCATTTTCGGCTTGGACCGCTGGGCGAACAGCGACAGCGAACTCAGAAGGAGGCTCTGCCCAGTATTAAAGCTGACTTCCGAACTTCCGATTTGGGCATGACGAGATCCAGGTGCTGCCCGCGAGCTGCCCAGATGGGATCAGGAGCTCAGGAAAATGGGTCCCCGTGTGGAGAAAGATCTGAGAACCATCAATGGGGTTGTAATAATCATTGTTCCTTCTTTATATTATAATTATAATGTTATAGCATCTAATTAGAGGGACTTCCTATGTGCCCAGCTTTGTCCGAAGAATTCTATGCACATTGACTTATTTCATCTCCATATGAGGAAATGCAGACGCGGCCAGTTCATCCAAGGTGACCCAGCTAAGTAACGGGAAGCGGGGAACCTAACGCAGTCTGCTCTGAGAGGGAGAGTGTTGAATAAGAAGAGAATGTGAAGGGGGCACCTGGGTGGCTCAGTCAGTCGAGCGTCTGACTCTTGATTTTGGCTCGAGTCATGGGATCGAGCTGCACATCAGGCTCCACGCCAGATGTGGAGCTTGTTTAAGATTCTCTCCCTTTCCCTCTGCCCCTCCCTGCCCTGACTCACGCTCACTTGCATGCACGGACACACACTCTCTCTCTCAAAATAAATTAATTAGTTAATTAAAAAGGACTTAGAGTATTAAAAAGAGAATGTGAAGGAGAAGTTTGCCTTTTAATTTATACCTCCCTATATTATATTTTTTGCAATAAGCATTGCCCATGCGTCACTTACGTGATTAATTATTTAAAAGGTTTGTGCAGAACTAGGGCTGAACCAGTATTAGAAAATCATTGGTTCCCTTTTTCCCTCCTTGCTTAAGCCTGCCATAGTCTCCTGCCTTTGCGCGTCCACCGAGATCATTCCTAAGGGTGGCACGTGGCGGCATGAGATCCTCTTAAGTTGAGAGCATAGAAGAGGTGACAGACGTGGGTTGAAGTGAAAGTTGAAGCACCGATTGCCCGCCCGCAGGCTCCTCTCCATGATTCCTTTTGTTTCAGTAACCTTTCTAGCGGACAGTACGTCCGGCAGGTCAATGTCTGTGTCCCCGCAAAGGAAGACGGTAAGCGGGAGGCTGAGAAGCTGACCGTGGGGTTGCTTCCAGGACCAGCCGTCCTATCCTTTTCCCCGGGGAGACAGGGCCGTGCAGCCTGGGCTGACAGAGAGTCCAGGCGACAAGGCCCGCTGAGGCTCCCTGTGGCCTCCGCAGGTGTGCGATGACTGCGTGGTCCTGCGGAGTAACATTGGGACGGTGTACGAGCGCTGGTGGTATGAGAAGCTCATCAACATGACCTACTGCCCCAAGACTAAGGTGCTGTGTCTGTGGCGCAGAAATGGCTCTGAGACTCAGCTCAACAAGTTCTATACCAAGAAGGTACCCAGGAGCTCCGTCCGGGCGGGGGTGGGTGCTGAGGGCGAAGCGTTGAGTTTCTTGCAAGGAAGTTAAAATTCCACGATCCATGTTGAGAGCCCCCTTTATGTCCGGCTGTCATGTGGGACACGGCAGGCTGTCTCCGTGGCCTGGCTCTGGCTGACGGTAGAGAGTGGAGCAGGGGGACCCTGGGAGGCCCGGATGACGGGATGTTCTGTCCCCCGTGCCGCAGTGTCGGGAACTGTACTACTGCGTGAAGGACAGCATGGAGAGAGCCGCGGCCCGACAGCAGAGCATCAAACCCGGTGAGAAGACAGTGACTCCCCGAGCAAGGGCCTTCTGCTTGGTTCTGTCCGTCCTGAGGGTCAGAGGCCTAACCAGGAGCTTAGGCCCGGGGTCCCCGCCCCAGTTAGCTGACGACCTCCTCCCCCACCGCAGGCCCTGAACTGGGTGGCGAGTTCCCTGTGCAGGACATGAAGACTGGTGAGGGCGGCTTGCTGCAGGTCACCCTAGAAGGGATCAATCTCAAGTTCATGCACAGCCAGGTAGGTGGGAGGGGCAGCAGTGGCTGCCTGGCCCTGTTCTTCCATCCGCAGAAAGGCTCAGTGTCCAGGTCCCAGTGCTTTCCCAGTGAGCCTCTGGGCCTTCGGGGCTAGTGGGAGGATGGGAGCAGCTGGACCAGAGACAGAAATCAGAGGGAGGGCACAGTGACGTTGGCCACCACCCGGAAGGTGCAGGAGGAGCCTCCGTGGGAGGCGGGGAAAGAGAGGGAGCCTTGGTGGCTAGGCTGCCTCCGTCCATTAGACCCAGCGCAGTGTGAGTGGGAGCGTCTCACTTGGCCCTTCTTCGCACAGTGTCTGCCTTCCCTTGTTCCCAGGGTGTGCTTCTGCTTGGTGGTTTTGCTTTGAGAGTCTAGACCAGCTGATCTCCTCACGTGTTTCCGGTGTGCACGAAGCTTGTGTGCGCGTGCGTGTACGTGTGTGGAGCTCGTGTCTGTCTTACCTGGAGTATGTGTGTTTATTTGCCTATTTCTCCCGCTGATTCTTCTTCCTATTCTTTCCATTCCTCTGAGTGTCCCCACTCTGTCCCCTGCTCCACAGGCCCCATTCCCCTTCTTTTGGCTGGGGAGTACTTCAGAGTCCATCTTTCTCTCATTGTGATCCCACCATAGGAGCTGACTTTTTTTTTTTCTCTTGGTCTTTTAACACAGTGTTACTTTTTCTCTCAGTGGACAGTCCTTAAGCTAATTCCTTTCTGAGGCCAGCGCGTCATCCCAGGTCCGTTCCCAGTTCTGACTCTTCACACAAGTGCCTTCCCTACCCCTTCCCTGACATCCTGGTTCCTCCCCTTGAGGCTGTGAGCCAGGTCTGAGTGTGCGAGCACCACAGCCCCGGGCCAGGCCGCACACACTCAGGGGAGGTGGCCCTCTGGACTCCGTGACTTTCTTCCTCCCCTTGCCATTGTAGTTTCTTCTTTCAGGAACCCAAGCGGGCAGCTTTGGTGTGATGGGAAACAGCTGCTCAGGCAGTCTATTTCCAGCAGTATATTTCCTGCCTGTGACTTTAGTATATTAAATAGCATACCTGAGACCTTAGGGTCAGCCCAAGGAGAGGTTTAGTGAAGTTCTTTCCTGGAGCACGAAGGTGCCGGCACTTCTTGGGGAACAGGCTTCTGACCGCCTTTTAGTGCTGTGGCTTCCCCTGATGCCTCACCTTCCGAAGAGGAGGTCTTGTTAAACAGCGGCCAGCCCCCTTCTGGGTCCCCCCCGCCTGGACCGACCCAATGTCTAACCAGTCCATGGATAGGTACAAGCTGCTGGTCTGTAGTTTAAGGCTTTGCCCTAGAAGAGAGATCCTGCCGAGAGGGGGAGTCAGGCCCTGACTGATCACAGGAGAACGGCCGTGGGGTCCGTTGGAGTTGAGGACGCATTGGCCTCTGGTGAAGTCCTCCAGGGCGGGGTCACAAACGGATCTTCCGGGTCAGGATGTGCTTGGACTCAGAGTCCAGCTTCGTTACTCGTGGGCAGATAGATTGCCTGATCCTGTGTCCTCCTCTGTAAAACGAGGGTCGTGCTGCACACTGGGCCACATGGATGTGAGGCTCGCAGATAGGATTGTAGAACTCGCAGTCGGTGCTCCCAAGCGATAGCCGTTATTCTCTCGCCGCGTACCTCTTGGGAGAGCCTGGATTTTGTTTCAAGGACGATATCAACACCTCCCACCCCGAGGACAGTCCGAGGGGAGCTTTGCGCCCGTGCCAGCCCTCTGCGCCGGAGGAGGATGCATGGAAGGGTAGAGAGCTGATGGGCTGACGGGGGAGACCCCCGGGGCACCGTGTCCTCCAGGCGCTGCCCTGGGCAGAGGGTATGGGCGGGCAGCCCAGGACAGCAAAGGGGCCTTCGGGTGGGGTCTGACCATTAAAACTAACGCCTTCATTTCTCTCCCATGCTTTCTCCTCCGGCCAGGAGCGGAAGGTACATGCCCTTTCTGCTGTCTTCGCTTCTTAGCGCTTTGAGTTGTGTGTGTGTGGATTCTGCGGCCCTCCCTCTGGGAACTAGGTCTTCTGTGCGGGGAGCGGGGCTGTAGCTGGGGGAGCGGGCAGCCGTGAGCAGGGGGAGAGCCTCCGGGCCTGACCCCGCCCTCCCTCCCTCTCTTGCAGGTTTTCATAGAGCTGAATCACATTAAAAAGTGCAATACAGTCCGAGGCGTCTTTGTCCTGGAGGAATTTGGTAATTACACTATTTTGCTCTTAGGTCTGGACTCACATGGCAGTAACTCAAACCTCGGCGCTCCAGAGGAGGGACTAGAGGCAGAGAGAAGAAGCGCCTCTGCAGAGAGGTCAGGAGGCTTAGGAGTGACAGGGAAGCAAAGGGAAGCCGCGAGGTGCCAGGGAAGGAGGAAGAAAGGAGAGAGAGACGGTGGCTGCTAGGGAAGGGGTCGCAGAAGAGCGAGTGGCCTTAGATGGGTTTAGAGCTCAGAGACGCTCCGGTGGAGGCTCGGTGAGCGGGCGCCCCCCGCTTCTCGGCCAGCTGGTGGTCAGAAAGTTCTGGGGCAGAGCAGACGGGCAGTCTTCAAGCTCTGCTGTGTTCATGTCGCCTGCTGAGCTCCTCCTAGCAGCCCAGGGCTCCCTCCAGCCACCCCAGTGCCCCCATGGCATCCACCTGGCCTCCATGCTGGAGGAGGGACATGTGGGGGCCAGGCAGCCACTCTAGAGGGCAGGGAAGCCCCATGGGCCTCCGAGGCAGGCAGGGCAGCTGTCGCCGGAGGCTGGGAGCCGGCCTCCCCGCAGCCAGGCGCTGCCGCTGAGCGGTGGGGTAGTGGGTTCTCACCCTGGGGCTTTGAGTTCCTGCTGTGTTTGTGCTTCATTCTTTTGTGCCCCTCATCGCTGCTATGAAAACCTTCGTTCTCCAGCAGGTAAAGTGACCTCGGCTCGTGCTGCCTCCCGCAGGACCCTGCCTGGGCCCCGCTGTGGGTGGGATGGGCTCCCTTCAAGCAGACCAGCTGCTCACTGGCCAGTTTGTCCCATCCCTTTTCTCCCCACCCTCTTCCTCCCAGCCTCCCCTTTCCCCCTTGTGCTGGCTTACTGGTTCTGAGTTTTCTTCCCTGTGTGCTCCCTTCCCTCTTCTGCCAGAGAGATGTTTGGGGGAATCTTTCAACTCAGGAGAAGGACCCGGGCTTCTTGCTCTACCTATGATGAGTTTACCCCCTGGTAACCCTGGGTCCCCCCAAGTCCTACCTCCCAGGGTCAGTAAAAAGGTGTGGCCAACTCTCATCCTACCTTTTCTGGCTCCCAGGGGGACGCCACGCCCCTCTGCTCCCATCTCCAGGGGCCATCAGGATGGCTGAGCCCCAGGGGGCCTTCCTCCTTCCTCTGGCCAAGCAGAACCCCTGCATGGCTGGGGCAGGGGTGACTTAGTCTTGCATTCTGGGCTGTGGACATGTGTGTATTTTGCCTGATGGTCCTTGTCACCTCCCTCCCCGGGTGCTGTACTCGCCTGTCTTCTGCTCGGTATGTCTGCTCCAGAGCCCTCTGACGCTCTCCCTCACACAGGCAGGCCTGGGCCTCTCCTGCCACTCAGGGAAGGACGCTTACAAGTCTTCTGGGTGTTAGTGTCATGCCACTTCTCCATCCAGCCTCAGGACGCTCTGCGTAGGGGCTGGGAGTACAGGGAACCATGCTTAACACAAACAGAGTGTCGGGCTGGTAACGGGGAGGAGTTCTCGGGCATCTCAGGTGATGGCACAGGCTAGAGACGACTCTCTTCACCCGGCCGACACTGGGGGACACCCCACAGCAGCTCCTCGGGGCCGTGGTGAAAGGCCAGCCTGCTCCCGTGCTGAGGCTCTCACAGAAGTGGCTAGAGTTGCAGCCATCGAGCAGGGAGCCACAGCAGAGCGCACAGGCCTGGCCGAGGAGTCTGGGGCCGTGTCCTCTCACCTGGCAGCGGCTGGGCAGGAGCTGTCAGAGCAGAAGCCGCTGCAGCCACTGGGACAGGCCACCGTGGGGAAGGGGACCCCGGTACCGGGCGCTGCCGCCTGGGGGAGCCTGGCACTATCGCTCTTAGTTTTGAACTTTCTGTTTTGTCTTTTGCCCGTCCGGTTTTAGTTCCTGAAATTAAAGAAGTGGTGAGCCACAAGTACAAGACACCAATGGTGAGTGTGCCCCCCAAGTCCGGCAGGCCGGTCTGCGCAGGGCTCCCTGGGGACCTTCCCACAGGAGTGGGGCGGGCCCGCCGAGGGCACAGGGGCAGGCCGACTAGGGATGGCTGGAGAGCTGAGGTTGATCTAGATGCCGCAGGTTCAGCTGAAGCCAAAACAAGTCTTCAGCCCTGGGAGAGACCCACGCACACAGATGCCCTGTCCCACCGGCCAGCCGTGAGGGCAGTTTCCTGCTGGGCACATCTCCCCACGTGGTGATGTCGGAGTCTCAGGAATCTGATCGGTCTGGTTTTCCTCTCCCCTCTAGGCCCATGAGATCTGCTACTCTGTGTTGTGTCTCTTCTCGTACGTGGCTGCAGTCCGCAGCAGGGAGGAAGACCTCAGGACCCCGCCCCGGCCCGTCTCGAGCTGATGGGAGGGGTTGAGAGCCCCCCAGTCCAGGGGGTGCCCTTGCGTCTTCTGTTCGCAAGGACACAATGCTGCGCGTGTGTTCTCTGCAGGCCCCTAACCGTGGCTTCGTTGGTTCACAGTTGTGTGTCTCAGCGTGTCTTAGTGTCTGTCACAGGGCTCCGCTGGTTTCCTCTATCTGCTCCCTCTCCATTCCCAGGAGACCAGTCTACTCTCCCCTCAGGGCTCAGGAGTGATGTCTGTCTGTCTTTTGGGCCAGTGGCTTCTAAGCACTCTGAGTACAATAGGAGCCCACCGTTGCGTGTCCCTGAGAGTCGTGTTGTGGTTCCTCATCCTTGGCATTCTCACCCTCCAGTGCAGCGCTCTGGCTCTCCGTCCTCTGGGATCCGGCATGACTGGGTGCTGGGCGAAGTCCCACTCCGTACCGAGGGAGGGAAGCTTGAGGCCTGTCCGCCCAGACAAGAGGTGGGCAGGGAAAGGCAGGGAGAGTCATGGGGTGGCATAGTGAGTGACAGCCTCCCTCGTCCTTACGAGTTTCCCAGGCTGGTGGCTCCTGCCTGCTGTGGCCCCTGCCACGGCAGGGGGGGCGGCACCGAGGGGCTCCTTTTTGCTGAGCAGCAGTTTCCCTAAGATCTGCCTTGCCTTTGGACTGAGAGGGCAGAGTGGTTGGGCTGGGAGACTCCCAGCGACCACAGGCTACCATGCCCAGGAAGCAGGGTGGAATGGGGCCAAGGTCAGTGTACACAGCCAGTGTCTGCAGGCAGCCTCTCCTGGCACTGGTGTGGGCAAGAGATGATTGTACATAGTTCAGCGCTACATTATTTATAGAAAATGTACAGATGTGTGAATGTGAAATAAATATCCTCAGCTCTCCTTGGGCTCCTGACTGCCTTGTATTTAATGATGCCTCCTCTCGGCCCGGGCCTGAGGAGGTCTTGTCCCTGGACTCCAGAAAGGCCCGTCAGGCCTAGAAGGAGAGAGATGAGATCATGCCCCTCCGAGTCCTGATATGTGGAAGCCCCAGCCTCGCACCCCACTGACCCAGCAGGGCCCCTCACTCGGAGAGGTTAGGAGAGGGGCTTCCTGCCCTCTGCCCCCTCGCCCTACAGGGAGCGGCTGTGCTAAGAAGTGGCCACTGGAGAAAGCAGCCATAGCTGTGAAGGAGAACCAAGACTCCCCTGGCCCCTCATGGGCGGGTTCGAGCGGGGCTGTGACTTGGCCAGGGAGTCCCACAGGGCCTGGAGCCCTGGGCTCTGAGCTCTTGGCCAACAGTGCCTTGGGTTGAGTAGAACTCTGACAGGAGCAACCCTAGGACCAGCCTCCCTGGAATTCTTTTCTCTGTGCCGTTGGGAAACTTCTGACACTCTCTAGGCAAGACCAACCGCTGGTTTTGAGAGCGAGCGGCGCAGGGGTAGGGGGAGGAGGAGAATCTGAAGCAGGCTCCACCTCCAGCATGGAGCCCCATGTGGGGCTCGATCTCCCCACCCAGAGGTCCTGACCTGAGCCAAAACCAAGAGTCTGGTGCGTAACTGACTGAGCCACCCAGGCGCCCGAGACTATCCACATTCTGTTAGGGCATCTCAGACCCCTTGGCCTCCCCTTCCCAAAACTAAACTGGTGATTGGATTTAGGCTCCCAGCAGGGAGGAACAGAGGAAGGCCCTGGTTCCCAGTATCTCATGTTGGACAGGACCACCCTCTCCTACTGGGAAACAGGTGTGGGAGGGTCGTGGGCTTGTTGTGCACTGGGACCCCAGGGCAGCCTGGGGCAGCTTCTCTCCAGGCCATATGGGCACAGAGCCACACTGAAGTTCAGCTCCACCCGACATCCAGGCTGCTGTGAGCACAGGTCAGCAGGTCAAAGACCGTACAGATCACAAGGTACCAGGCAGGAGCACCCTGGGTTACTGCTCTGTTGCTAATGCACTTTCGTCACTGCCCCTTCCTTTCCTCATTGGAAGAACGTACACGGGGGGGATGACAGAGGTTTCTTCTAGTGTTCTATGAATTTGGGATTCCCCTCTCAGCCTCCTTTTAACTCATCTGGAGGACAGAACACCTGCCTCAGTTTGCTCGGAAGGTCAAGTGTATTTCCCTGTGCTTTTTGTGAAAACAAACACTTCGGACAAGAGCCAGCTGTGACTGCACTCATCTTTTATTGCCCTTATCCACTGAGAAGATGTGGCAGGCCAGAAAGGCCTGTCCCCAACCACCATATCCCGAGCCCACCAACTTTTTGTCCCAAAGACCTGAGAACTTCCAGGGGGAGCTCAGGCGGTTCGGTCTGTGCGGAGCACCCCCTGCTCATCTTCCTGGTGCTGCCCCACTGACGCTCTCCCAGCCCAGCCCTGGATACACATGTGCACACACAGCCAACAGCGGGAAGGCGGCTTGGGCAGCGTCCTTCCAGGCTCCCGGGACACGGGCCAGCATCCCTCGGTGCCTGCGAGACGGGTTCTCTTATGAATGTGCTGGACTGAGCCCTGTGAGAGACACCTGCACCTCCATTTCCCGATGGCTGCCCCCAAACCAAGGGCCAGGGCTTGGCCTCTGACTCAGGCCGGGGCGTCGGGGTAACTTGGGAGTACGTACCTGGCCTCTGGGGAGCCAGCCGGTCACTGAGGCACTGCAGGGGAGAAGGAGGTCACGCCACATGTGTGTTTCCCCTCCCGGCACCTTACATGTCCCCCCAGCCTCCCAAGGGAGCAGCTGTGGCAGCAGAAGCCAGTGCCCATGTTGGACGCAATGGGGTCACTGCTCTTTCAGCCAGAGCAGCTGCGGGGGCCAGGCCAGCAGAGTCCCAGCTGGTTCCCGGCCTGCTCCGCCACCCTGGGCCCTGGTCCCGCAGGCTCCTCACCTCGTACTTCTAGGTGGCACTCACACTGTGCCTCGCCTTGTAAGTTGGTGGCCCTACAGACATAGATGCCCCCGTCGAAGGGGCAGGGCTTTCTGATCTCCAGCGTCAACACTCCCTGCTTGCTGAACATGCGGAAGCGGGCGTCTTCCCCCAGATCCAGGCCGTTCTTGAACCAGGAAATCTTGGGCTATAATCAGGTCATGGGAGGAAGGCAGACCATCTCAGGTTGACGGGAGGCCTGGAGGGAACCTGTTTCTATTCTACGGGCTCCCACTAGGGTCCACGTGATGCCCAAGCAGGGAATGACCAGGGAGCCAATGGAGACTGCCAAGGCCCTCTTCAGGGAGAGGAGCCTCGCTGTGAACCCTCGTGAGACAGAATGCAGGGAAAGGCTGGGGAGAGGACCAATGGAAGTTGGAGCCTCTGAACCCTGCCTCCTGAGTCTGCCTGGCTTAGGGCCCCAAGCTCTCTACCTTGGGGCTACCCCGGACGGCACAGCAGAGGATAGCGTTGTAGCCGGCGATGACTGAGCGGTTCACCAGGGGGCGGGTGAAGCTCGGGGCCTCAGAGAAGTCCAGGGCCTTATAGTTGGGTGGCTCATATGTGATGCCTGTTGGTAATAGGAATTTGTACCAAGACTGTCACGCCACACTAGGCCCCCTCCCTGCTCCCACCGCCCCCCCTGCCCAGGCTCCTCCTGGGAGTGGGAGTAAAGGTACAGCACCTGGTTTGGGGATAAAGACAGGCTCCTTGGTGGTGGCTGCTTTGTCACTGGGTCCCACCATGTTATGGCTGAAGACCCGGAAGTAGTAGCCGTTGCCAATGATGAGCTCTGAAACCACGCAGTGAGTGCGGCGGTAATGCTCCAGGACAGTGAACCATTCCTGGGGGTGTGGAGGAAAGGGAGGCTCTCTGGGGCCTGGCCCTACTACCCGCCAGGGGCCTCTTTTGGGGGCCCCTGGTGTCTGCACCCCATCTGTAGCGGGAACCAGGTCAAACAGGGAGGATGAGCAGCAGACCCTTTCTAAGGTCAGGGGAGGGAGTCTGAGTGGCCCTAGGGAGGGTCTATACGGGGTGCCCAGAACCCCAGACTCACCATGGTCTTCTTGTCGGCTTTCTGTACTGTGTAACCCCAGATCTCTGTGTTGCCATCATCCTGGGGTGGTTTCCACTCCAGAGCCACGTTGAAACCCCACGCTTCCATGACCCGAATGTCCTGGGGAGGGCTTGGCTTGTCTGCAGGAGAGAGTCCAGCTGGAAGGTGCCACCTGCTGGGGGGACTCCCCCCCCCACCCCAGAGGAGGGGCCCAGCACCACGCACCAACAATCTGCAGGACCAGCGTGGCCTTGTCCTCCATGTTCTCGATTCGCAGCGTCACCTGATAGGTTCCAGAGTGGGCGCGGCGAGCAGCCCGGATGAACAGGATGGTGTCTGTGGGGCTGTTGCGGATGCTGACCTCCTCACCTGCCAGGGGCTGCCCCTCTTTGGTCCAGGTCACCTGAGGCCGGGGCTTGCCCTGTGGGGAGGGAAAGCTCACCCCTGAGCCTGGCACGACTGGGTGGCATTTCAGGGTCTGGTCAGCCCCAAGACACGTCTCCCCGCTAGGCATAGATGACACACGGGGGGGCACAGGGAGGGTGGCCGGCCCTACCTGGAAAGGAATGAGGAGGTTCACGGGCTCCCCAACCTTTCTCTGGATGGTCTGGCGCAGGTGCCTGGGCAACTGGAGCCGTGGCCGCTCTGTGGGTACCGAGTGGGCGGCTCAGCAAGGGGAAAGCCCCGCCCCAGGAGCGCCACAGCTCCTCCCTTTCGGAGGCGGGGCCAGAAGGCTGCGGAGAGGAAAATGCCCCTCCCCTAGCTCCCCCAACCCTAGCTCCAGAGGGTCTTCAAAATCCCTGCTTCCACCTCTGCCTCACCACACCCTATAAGAGGCAGGGATCGGAGAGGGTGAGCCAGTGGTTCAGGGTCACACAGCTAGCAAGTCACAGGCCAGAATGCGAATGCAGGGTCTTGGTCTCTACCCTATCCCCCAGGCTGTTTGCACCCCAGGCTGCTGCCTCTTTCCAATCTTTACGGGATTGAGCCTTTGCTGGGAATAGAGGAATGAGAAGTGGATCCCAGAGGGGTTAATCTGATACCGAGTCAGGGGCACAGGGACAATACCCGTTGAACTGAGAGGCTCATAGAACAGAGCTCATGGACAATGGTGTGACGGCCTACATGTTCCTGTCCCAGACCCCGTCCCAGAAAACCGCAGGGAGCCCTCTCCGAATATTTGCCCTGGGCCTGGGACATGAAGAAAGGCTCTCCTGTCCCCTCCTCCCCGCAGGAGCTCTCCGAATGTGCCCCCCCCTTCCGCCGATCCAAAGGGCCAGGCCGTCCGTGGCAGGTCTGTCCCGTGACTGCACAGGGGCCACTCACGCAGTATCTCCTGCACCGTCACGGCCTCCTTGGTGGCGACGGGCGCTCCGGGCCCCGCCATGTTATGGGCGCGCACACGGAAGAGCAGCCGCGCGCGGGTGGGCAGGTCCTTCACCAGCATCGAGGTGCGCTCCGTCAGCCCCTGCAGGGCAGCCGTCCACTCCGAGCCTGGTCGGGGGAGCAGCGTCGGCATCCGCAGCCCCCGCACCCCCCGCTCCCGCCCCACCCCAGGCTGTCTGGGGCCCAGCGCGGGGCGGAGGGCCTGGAGGTGGCCCAGGGGCGGGGCGGCCCGGGGCACTCACAGCCCTCCCGGCAGTACTCCACGCTGTAGCCGTCCAGGCCGCCCGCTCCCACGCGCTCCGGCGGCCGCCACTTGAGGGAGACGGTGGTGTCCGACACGTCCTCCACTGCCAGGTGGGTGGGCTCGCTCGGGGGGCCTAGGCACAGGGGGAGTCCGAGAGGGGCCCCACTGGGTCTGCACCACCAGGAAGACCGAAGGGCCGTGACCCAGCCCCCCAAGTGACCACTGGCCCCACGGGGGCGCTCCCCCCACCCCGGCCTCCCCCCACCCCGTGCTGTCCGGGTTCCAAGCCCTGCCAG